ATTATTATTATTATTATTATTATTATTATTAATACGATTTCCACTGGATTGTTGAGATTGTTGTTGTTGTTGTTGTTGTTGAAGGAGGAGTTCTCGTGTGGCTTTTTCCTGTTCGGCCCTTCGCATGGCCTCCTTGTTGAGTTCCTCCTCTGCGGCCAATCGCTCCTCCCGCCGGGCATTTCGTTCTCGTCGCTCCAACTGCAGTCGGTGTGTTTTCCCGGCGAGATGTTTGAGAAAGTTGTTATCATCCGTGCAGCAAATATCGCAGAGAGTGCAGGTGACGCGGCCCATGTGATTGCGTTTATAATATGGATCCCGTCTGGCCTGCAATGCAGGGTTTAACGCCTTTACAGAAGACATGCCAAAGGGCGTTTAAGGAATAATCAATAATAATAGTAATAAAGGTACTAGTGAAATGGGTTTATATATATATATATATATATATATATATATATATATAAACTCATTATTCTCACGTGCAGGCAGATTGTTGTACCGCTTCCTCTTCTTCTTCTTCTTCTTCTTTATCCGATGGCCACAAGGGCACATTGTCTGTAATTACAGCATCAATCATCATCAACTGCGACTGCACATATGTGAACTGTTCATCATTATTCGGTTCTCCCCACGTCCATACAAGTTGACCGTGAGCATGGGCGTAATCAGCAATGGATTTACCACGTGAATAATCAAATAACGCCCATTGAGCCTCACGTTTACTATTACTATTAGAAGAACCACTTGTTGTTGTTGTTGTTGTTGTTGATGATGATCCTTTAGCAACAGTATGATTATGATTATTATTATTATTACTATTATTATTATTATTATTATTATTATTATTATGATTAGTAGTAGTAGTAGTATCCATAGGGAGTTGTAGAGATGCTGGTTGATGCTGTAAACGCCGCATACTGTGATTACTGGGAAAATTCTTCTGTTCCTCCGTACACAAGGAAGAGGCGAGAATAGAAACCCCGGATAAATGCATAAACACAGAAAACTGCAAAGCCCCTTCCACCAATCCAAAGCAGCGATAATCTTTAAAATCATCATATAATTCCGTTGCGCAGAGAAAAACAACATCAAAGCGACTTTGTTTCATTTTTAAAGCCAAACAAATATCTGGTTCAAAACTACTGAAGATTACATCTCGTGGTCGCATCTTTCCACTGCCATCGGCATCTTTTACACATTGTCGTTGATCTGCGAAGGCAAAGACAACACGTAAAATATCATCCACAAAGGCATTGATCTCAAAGGCATCAATTTGTTGATATAAATTCGCATCTCCAATAGGTTGAAAAGGAAATTTTACTTCCAAATCAAACCGTAATGATGGTGGTGTTCCTTCAAATAATTCTTTTAATGTACAGATGCGATTAGTGACATCCTCTTGTTGGGCAAGCATACGTTGTTGACTGCGGTAGAGTTTTTTATATTCTTCCATATTTCCATCTTGTAAATACCCATTAAAAGGGGAATTAAACTCAGAAGAGATACATCCACATAATCTACCTACGCCTACTCCTCCTCCCAAACCCTTATCCTTATCTTTATTCTCTTCTGTATTGGATTGATTCTCCAATCGATTGCGATGTGTACAAAGAATTTGATTCCAATGACGTAAAATTAAATTTCTTAATGTATTGGTAGCCTTTGTATATGTAAAGGTTTCTGTTGTTACTACATCCAATTGTCGTTTTGTTAATTGATGCATTGCAATAGGAACAGAAGCAAAGCTTGGACCTGTATATGTACATGGACGATGATGATGATGATTATCGGAGAGTTGTAAAGCCAATGGATTAGAAGTATCTGCAGTCATTTCAGTATTATTATTATTATTATTATTATTATTATTATTATTATTATTATTATTATTATTATTACCATTAGTTGATGAATGATTATTATTCATATCATTCACACCAGTTACTGTTTGATTTAATTCTTGTAATTCCACACGACCATTACGAGTACCTGCCCCACGTTTCTTTCGTGCCTGCAATTGAATTAACGGATCATGAAAAATAACGGGAATACGATCACGTGTGAGCATCACATCAAACTCCACCATATCACATCCACGGCGATGGGCGGCATTTAATGATTCCAAACTATTCTCAGCCAATTTCACCATTAAACGATGGGGTTTAGGTGGAATACCTGCGGCTGCGGCTACCACCGCCGCTGCTGCCGCTGCCTGAACAGAAGATTCCATATTTTCCTCTGGAGTTTCACTCATCGTACTTCGTGTATATGTTTTCCCTAATCCACGATGTCCAACTGGTTTTTTGGTTGCCAGTCGTCCAAGAGAGGCGAGAGAACGTACAATCTCCAGATTATTCCGTTCTGGATGTGGAAAAGGGAAAATAAATAAATACTGCATATAAAGAGTTTGCCAATAAGTTCTTATGGATCCATCGGAAGTGATATCCATAAAACAAACAGGAATAGCCAGTGTTCCACTTGTATGTTGTTTAAAGAGAGGAGGTTGTAAGACCGCAACTCCCTTAACCCAACGTACACCAATAACATGACCGCTGGTATTACTACTCATACTATTTCTGCGGCTATTGTAAAGATTACTTTCTGTACCTGTAACTCTTATTTCTTCATCTATAGTAGTTGTAGTAGTTGTTGTTGATGTGGGGCATACATAATCTGAGATGGTAGCTTTACTGGACTCCTCGACATCATCTACACCATTATTATTATTATTATTATTATTATTATTATTATTATTATTATTATTATTATTATAAATTGGCAGTGGCATCATAGCTTCCAGTTGTAATCCACAATTTTCCAATCGGGCAACATTCACAGTGGTATGCCAAACACGCATTGTATATTGTAAATCTCCTCTTGTAAAGGGACGTAATGGATCTATTTTATGTGGAGGCTCCACACACCATCCACGATGCCTAACGGCTGCATGAACAGTCTCATCAGAAATATAAGATGTGTTTTCACTTCCAATAAAGGAGTTCCCTCGTGGATCTTGTTCAGATTCTGATACTTTCATCACCTTTTTCTGTGATGACCCGGAGAGACTGTTGTTATTATTATTATTATTATCGGTAGATCCAATAGAACAGGGAGAGTAACTTCCAATCACTTTCTTCTTTTCATTTCCCTTCTCCATCATTTCAGTTTGATGTTTACGTGCACCTTTACGGGTTTTATGTCTTGTTGTGGATTCTTTAACGACATTCATTTGCCGCTCCATTGGGGCAGGTGTGGGTAAATGTCGTTCACACCAACAACACCCCTCACTCCGCACGGGATAAATATCTTGAATCTCAATAAGAGAAGTTGGAAGTAACGGCGCCTTATCATTATCATCATCCTCATTATTATTATGATTATTATTATTATTATTATTATTATTATTATTATTATTATTATTATTATTATTATTGTTATTATTATCACTATCATTAGAATTCGTATGGTTCATACCATGACGTTGTAGATAAAGCACGGCATCTCTGTAATGAGGCGGTAAACTCTGCAGCCACATATCCCGTTCATATCGTACAGAAGGATCATTTGCATAAAGCGTTAATGAGAGCAGTGGTCCAGTCTTTGAATCCTCCTGCGTGGATTCCTTTTTATATAATTGAGAGAGAAATGGAAATTGCTCTGAGGCACGCACAAAGTGCATCACACGATCACGGAAATCCACATACGCAGAGAAATGTTTCCTCTTCTTCTTATTATTATTCTTATTGTCATTATCATTATCATTATTCTTATTGTCATTATCATTATTATTATTATTATTATTATTATTATTATTATTATTATTATTATTGTCATATTCACTATCTATATCAGGGATGAGAGAAACGGCATCTGGCTGCCAGTGGGCATTCTCCACAGCCACGATGGCCGCACCCGGAGTGACCAGTCGATCCCCCGCAGCCCGCAGTAGTGCTTCATCCACAATCACCACTCGGAATCGCAACAACAACAACGGAGAAGTTGAGGATGCCTCCAGCACAGAAACCGGCAACTGCACAGATGCCTTGAAAGAACAAAATGACGTTTTCACACCATTCTTCCTCTTATTATTATTATTATTATTATTATTATTATTATGATCACTCTCCTCTTCTTCTTCTTCTTCTTCTTCTTCCTTCTTCTTATCATCATCATCATCGTGTAGAGGTTCCAACAGCAATGGAGCTGTGTAGCCCCACTCTCCCATTTCCTCCGCACTTCCCACAAGACCCAATCGAAGTTGATCGACTGTTGGCGGTTGATACCGTTGTGTTTTTTCCTCTCCTTCTTCTTCTTCTTCTCCGCCGCCTCTTTTCTGTTGAGATCTTTTCTGTTGAGATTGAGATTGTGGATTGCAGTGAATGGGAACTGGAGTGCTGAGTCGCGTGAATTCAGCGTGGAGAAAATCTTTGGGAATTCCCGACAGCTGGAGAGAAACAGTTACATGGGATATATCGGCTGTCATATCCTTCTTTTCTTCTCTTTTTTATTCTTTTTCTTTTATTGTTTATTTTTTTTTTTCTTTTATTATTCTTCTTCTTCTTTCAATCTATATACGTAAATGTGTATGTATAATTTCCGTACAATAATAGTAGTAATAATAATACCTGAATCACCTCTAGAATATTAGAAGAGCAAATTTTCACGTTCGCTTTCTAATAATAATAGTAATAGTAATAATATACAAACATATGTCAACAAGTGGGTATAGAAAAAAAAAAGAAAAAAAGGAGAGAAAAAGAATGTCAACATGATAGTTTTCTTTTTTTTTTTTTTAAGGAACTTTATGCGTTTATTATTATTATTATTATTATTATTATTATTATTATTTGTAAATAAAGATCAAATGCAGATATTCAAAAATGCATAAATTTTCATCCTGAATCTGTTAACTAAATCTTCACCTTTTTTTTTCCCATTCCTGAAAAACCCATAACGACACATAGAGAGAGATATCACAATATAAAGATAAGTTTTTCTTTTTTCTTTCTTTTCCTTTCTCTTTATTACTTTTATAAGAAAATAACACAAGTATGTATACATACACGTGAAAAATACAGAGTAGATATGCGTATATATATATATATATATATATATATACGTATCTATATAGAAAGGACATACGTACTTTTTTTTTTTTTTTAATATAGATATAATAAAGGTAAGTATATCTCCTCACACACACATATGTGAACGCAGATGGGCATATAAATTACGCTCATAAATAAGAATAAGAAAAAAGAAAAAAAAAACAATATTCAGACTTTCTTAAGATAACTTATTCTATCACTTTCATTTCATACCCTTTCTTTTCTTTTTTTTCTTTTCTTTCTTACGTTCGCTTTTCACTTTTCTCTCTCTTAAACAAAGACCTCTAGCACATTCTGAACAGTTGCACGGCATATTGGACACATCATTTTATCCGCCAACCGATCTAAATAACGTCGACTACACGATCGACACAAGACAAGATGTCGACAAGGAAGTAATAAAAAATTCTTTTCCGCCTCCATACAAATCACACACTTAGAAGAATAAGATGATGAAGAAGAAGAATAAAAAAGAGGAGGAGAAGAAGAAGAAAGAAAAGGAGAAAAGGGAAGAGGAGAAGAAGAAGATCCAATTCCACCAATACCAACATTTACTTGTGTGGGTGTTGTGGTGCCGTGTGGAGTACTTCCAAACGATGGAGGGATGAGCAGCCAATCTCCATCGGATTCACATTCATTCGAGAGACTTCCCGGAGTTTCTCTTCTCCCTATATTTATTCCTCCTACTCCCCCACTATTATTATTATTATTACTATTAATATTACTATTAATATTAATTCCAGTAGTAGTAGTAGTAGTAGTAGTAGTCATTACAGGAGGAGAAGCATTAGCAGTGATGATTCTGTTTTTTTGTAAAGATGGTGTATCCAAAGGTGTGGAAGTGTTGGAAATAAGAGCCGTTATGGATTTAATATATTTCATTAAAAGTGTAGTGACAGTTCGTTGTAGTTCTAATAATACATTAACAAGTGAACCATGTTCTTTCCAATTTCCTAGTGAATTCAGTGAACTACGGTGAACTTCACCTGTTGAACTATTGATAATAATACTAGAAAGAAAATTATAGTTTTGCTGTGTTTCTGGTGTACTCGTTGTACAATTGGTTAAATACACACGTGGTGGATCATCAAAGTTATGCTGTTGTGAAAATTCCAAAGTGATGGGTAATTTCAAAAGCAATTCGCCTACTAATACACTAGTATTATCATTATTATTATTATTATTATTATTATTATTATTATTATTATTATTATTGTTATTCGCCAAGGATGATCCATCTCTCAATCTCGGTGAAAGTGGTTGACTATTTCTTGTTGTACTATTCATCACAGTTCCCACACGTTTAATCACTGTAAAAATTGGAAGAGCTCCCGTCACTGTACGAGTGGAACTATTATATTGAAAAGCATCATCGCAAAAAGATGAGAGATCACGAAGAATTCGTAATGTGAGATTATGTTCATCAGGATATAGTGTGAAAAGAGGGACATCATATCGTATGCCTATTCGACTATTAATAGAAGCTGTCAGTGGAGGAATACGTTCAAAGTTCGCAATCACAACATTCTGAACAAACTCTACCAATGTATGATAATACATATCTACTAGAGATGGAATAATAGCACCAGAACAGCTATCTATATAAGTTGCTCGACGACTAATAAGAAGATCTCCAAGATTATCACGGTCAATAAGAGCACGATAGGGTAATTTTTTTCCACTGTTATTCATACCATTATTATTATTATTATTATTATTATTATTATTATTATTATTATTAGTGCTATTGCTACTACTAAGGCGTTTTTTCACAAAGAGAATAACTGGCGTATAGTAAACTCCATTCTTATACGTATACGGCAAAACTCCACGTACTTGATAGGCATCATTACTCTCAAAAAATTCAAATCCATTTCCATACACACGACGAAATGCATGAAGATCTAATGGAAGAATAGAATCTGAGCCAAGTCTATGTGTATTACGTAAATGAGCAGCACTTGTAGGATTAGACATTACACCATTACTTCTTACATTATTCTCATGCATAACACTTGTGCCTGTATTCTGTGATACCATTGTAGTTCGCTGTTGTTGTTGTTGTAGTAGTAATGATGATGGTGTTGTTGTTGTTGTTGTTGTTAACATTTGTGGAATATTTCCATCCATTGCGGCGACTTGAGAGGCAGAGGCGGAAGAAATACGTTGGTGAAGACTACTACTATCATCATCACTATGAATACGTAAATCATTAATAGCTTCCCGTAATGTCTCTGCCAATACTTGTGGCATTTGCGTAAAGGTTCCTGCTGTTATTGGCGGTGGTGGGGGTGTTCGTCTTGGAGACCCACTCGTCCACAGTCCATCACCTCCATTTCTATTCCCAACATCTCTCCGTTGGTCTTGTTGTTGTTGCTGTTGTAATTGTTGTAATTGCTGTTGAAGTTGTTGTAATCTCTGTTGTTCCTGTGTTTGCAATTGAATTTGTATCTGTTGTTGTTGTTGTTGTTCATAACTGCGAAGCATACTGCGGCAGGCCTCTCTGGCCACATCTGTTGGTGTTTGCAATAATGTATTCGCCCGCAGTGATGGACGGCGGCTGAGGAGAAGAGCGAGAATAGCCGTATCGTTACTACTGGCGGCTTCATGTAAGGCCGTATCGCCGAGTCCACCGCAGGGAATAGAGGGATCTGCGTAGAATTCATTTATTAGCATGCGGACCGTGTCGAGATGCCGTTTTTGGACGGCGGTGTGCAGTAATGTATATTGCGAGGGGCCAACGGGGAGATTGACGCGGTGCGGGTGTTGTTGAAGCCACGCACGGAGTGCCGCGGTGTTGCCAGTGGCCGCGTATTCTAACTCCATATCTATCTATATATATATATATATATACTCACAGACACGTATAAATAATAATAATAATAATAATAATAATAATAATAATAATAATAATAATA